GAAGAAGGGCAAAATCTACAGGGCAAGGGACACAAGGAAAGAAAAGGGAAATGGATTACTTGGAATGCACTTTTGTATAAAGCAATTTTTCTGAAAGATTAATGCAGAAAAATGCATTAAGTTCCTCCCAATCAGATGATGTCACAGGAACTTGGGTGGGGAAGGACAAAACTGTTCCCAAGGGTCTTCTAATAGTCTTAATAACAATGTCTATTGTACTAATGTAACTTGCACCTGATTGCTATCATGCAATAAACTATGAGACAAGACCCTCTTCCCGTTAGACTATCTAGTGCTTTTCGTCCAACATTTTAGACCAGTCAGCAAAAGAAGATGCTGTTGTGTTGGGCTCTAAGAAACAACCACCAGTGTCTTGTGGTTTGAGTAGTTTATGTCATCAATCCTTCCTTCCATTCTAAGTTTGTGAATCTGTCTCATTATCACTGGGAGAGGATAAACCACCAGGAAATTTTAATAAGAAGAGGAACTTGTTTGACATACAAGGTAATTATACCTATTGCTATCATGCAATATATCATTAATACCAACTGGTTAGACATAATTGCAACTATTAGGAGCCAGAGATGAAACACGTGTCTCCATCAGTATCTCATGTTGACTGCCTGATTCTTTATCCGAAGACTGACATCATCAGATTGATGGAGTGGATGCAACTTCAATGTAATGCTTACAGAATAATTTCCTGATACAACATCCTCCCAATGCTCCCCCACCCCTTCCCCAAGTAGTTAAAAGGATAGAAATTACTTTCACCAATGTCTGAATGTGCAAGGTACAAATTCTCCATGAAAAGTTGAGCAAAAGTATTCATATTCTTAAAATGACTAGATTAAACTAGTGGAGAGAAAGGAGATTTGAACATAAGAAATATAGTGTTTATACAAGAACATTACTGAGGGTAACCGTTCCTCTAACTTGTTAACATCAATTGATAGTCTCATGGCTATTCCAGAAGAGATCATAGTAAATGTCCTGATGTTGTTTTTCCAGTGGAGAGACAATACAAAAGGAGCAGTGATGAGAGAGACAATTGCTCTGCTTTGGTTGTGTTGATGCAACAACATCTGTATTCGGCCAGGCTTTTGAAAAAATGTGATTAACAATGTAAAACTGACCAGATAAGTTTTGTTTTGGGATGATGATTGAGTGATACATATTAAGCTTTAAGCCAGTGATAACTGCCTGTCCTCCTTCAGTAGACTGCCATGGAATCTTTTACATCCACCTGTACAGTGTAACATCTCATCGGGGGAGGCAGTGGCCTAGTTATTGCTGTTAATCCAGAGACCCAGATAATGTTCTGGGATCCAGGATTTGAATCCCACCAGAGAAGATGGTGGAGTTTGAATTCAATAAATATCTGGAATTAATGGTCTAATGATGACTGTGAATCCATTGTTGATTGTCTGGAAATATCCATCTGGTTCTCTAATGTCCTTTAGAGAAGGAAACTGCTATCTTTACCTGGTCAGGCCTACATGTGACTCCAGACCCACAGCAATGTGGTTGACTCTTAACTGCCCTCTGGGCAATTAGGGTTAGGCAATAAATGCTGCCTCGCCAGTGACACCCTCATCCCGTGAATGAATACAAAAAAAAGCTGGCACCTCAGACAGTGCAGTGTTCTATCAGTACTCAGCAGGAGCGTCAGCCTTAGTGTTTCTGCACTCAAGTCCTGGAGTAGTATTTAGACCTGGGGATTTTGTGGTTCAGAGACAAGAGTGTTCACGACTGAACCACACTTGAAAGTCTGATCTGTGTTTGAATACAATCCCCCCACACTGAGTCTAGAATTGGTCTGTTTACTGTATCATTTTTCTAAAGTTGCTGTGGTAGCATACTGGCTAAATACACTGTCCAGCACCATGACAAAACCACAGACCCCAGGGAGACTCTCAATATTTAATTACTGTACCCCAGTGACAAACAGTGCCTCTAGAAGAGGGGAAAAAGACTGAGAACAGATTTAAAAGAAAAATGATTCCCATCTGTCTTTATTCAACAGGGGACAGGTTCGTTTGTAACTGACATAGATTTCTGACACTAATGGCTGAGGCTTGGCCAAATCTGAAACTGATATGGTTGACGTCCATTGAAAGCTGCAACAGCTGAGTTGGTCAATAATTATTTAATGTATTTCAGTTTCTATCTTGAATCCCATCCATGGTTCTGGGATCTGCCTCCACTATTCCCTATGTGACTCCACTGTGCTGGGATTGTAATGCTACTGAGTTACTGGAATTACTTGCAGTGAGAGCTCACAAAGGAAAATCCAAAGCAGAGCTCATTGCACAGGACATAATGTTGACACCAGCCTTATAACGTCTTCATATCCATCATGTGTTTGTTATAAGAGAGTGAACATTCTTGCCCCTTACCTATGGGACACCGTCATTTCTCTACATTCAAATGTCAAGTAAAAGATCCAGAGGCTTGATTCACTGAGGCTCCACTCCTTTGATTATGTCTCTTGATTTCTGGGAGCATATATTGCGTTGAACCGCCATGTGCAGTGGTCTATCATTACCTAGAAAGAAGAAAGAGCCTAAATGTATATGTCATCTTTTATGACCAGAGGACTTCCCAAAATAACTTTACAGCCAATCAAGTACTTTTGACATTGAGTTACTGCCATAATTTAGGAAATGCAGTGGCCATCCATTCCCAATATGGTCCCACAAAACAACAAATAAATAAATAATCGAGTCATCTGGTTTATTTTGGAGGTCCTAGTTAAGAGAGACATTGCCCAAGACACCTGGGAGTATCTGCCTGGCTTTTTTTTTCAAAATAATTCAACGTCAAGGAAAGTTTAGGGGAGAAATGTAGGGGAAATGTTTCACACAGAGGGTGGTAGGTGCCTGGAATGCACTGTCAGTGGAGGTGGTGGCAGCGGGCATGTTAGCAACATTTAAAGCATATCTTGATAGATACATGACCGGGAGGCAAACAGAGGCATAGAAACTGAGTATGGGCAATAAGTAGCAAGTCTAAATGAGGATTAGGAATCTGTGCAGGCTTGGTGAGTCAAAGGGCCTGTTCCTGTGCTGTATTGTATTGCATTATTTTATGTGTCCATCAGAGAGGACAGGTGGGACCTCGAATGTCATTGGTTTAGGCCAAACTTTAGCGCACAGTCTATGTTGACACGTCAGTACAGTACAAAGCCAGCTACAGTCTTTTAATTGAGCTATTAGACATTGAGCTAAAGCTTCATCTGACTGTGGAGGTAGATGTAAGTTATGTGGCAATAGGGAGATCTCCCTGGTGCCTGGTTGACCAATAGCAACAAAAATCTAGGAAGCTGCTGTGCAGAAAAGAACTGCTTTGTATAATATAATAAAATGGGCATCAGACAATTGGCAGCCAGTTTAACTTCCCCCCTGATTATTTTTTTTCCCACTGGAGTTAGAAAAGAAGTAAATCAGGCTCTTGGTTGACTGTCATAGTTTCACACTGTGTATCCTATGGGCATACCAGCTCTTCTCCCAGAAGTTAGTGAATGTCTGGAATTCTCTACCCCAGAGAGTTGTGGAGGCTAGATCACTGAAAGTACCTAGAGGTGGTAGATATAGAATTTTGAAATATCAGGGAAATGATGGCTATGCTGAGCTGAAACAAAAGAGGGGTTGAGGCCTGGGCCATGATTTGTTGATTGAGGCAGGCTTGAGGGGCCGAATGTTCTTCCATTCTTATATTAACACCATATAAGCTGCTACTCATGATGAAGGTTGCTGTCAATACCCTTTTAAGTGCGGGAACCTGCAAGGCCTGCTCAGTTAAGTGTGGTGAAGGAAAACCACTTTCTTGCTTAATGGGAAGAGTTCTTTTGTGGTGAACAAAATTTTTTTTTTGCTTGTTAGCAACTGAGGGCATAACAGCTTAGGATTTTTAAGGAAGTGAACCTCGTATCTGGGCCATCTCAAAGTCTTTCTAACAATGTCCACTATATTGATGTAACCTGTGTCTAGTTGCAGGTCTAAAGAGAACGTGTTCCAAGAAAATAGTGAAACCACCAAATGTCCTGAATTTGTAAAGTCAGTCTTGGGGAGGTGATGGGGTACTGGTAAATATAACTATAGACACCCATATATAATGTTAAACATGAAAGAAAATGCTTGGAGAGATGTTCTATATGGGTCTGAAAGACTCTGAAAGGGTTAATACTAAAGACTCAGTGGAGGAGGGAGTGGGTGTGCTTGATAATGCTGGCAGTACAACTCTCACCTGAAGCCTAAGTTAATCTTTCATCCTCAAACTGAAGTTAATTATTTTTCCATCATGTTGCGTGGCACTATCACCATACTAGATTGGGCACAATGGCTCAATGGTTAGTACCGCTGCCTCAAAGCACCAGGATCCCAGGTTCAATTCCAGCTTCAGGCGACTGTCTGTGTGGAGTTTACACGTTCTCCCTGTGTCTGTGTGGGTTTTCTCTGGGTGCTCTGGTTTCTTCCCCCTGTCCAAAGGTGTGCAGGTTATGTGGATTGGCCATGGTAAATTGCTCATGGTTCCAGGGATGTGCAGGCTAGGTGGATTAGCCATGGGGAATGTAAGGTTACAGGGATAGCATAGCGTGTGGGATGCTCTTCAGAGGGTTGGTGTGTACTCAATGGGCTGAATGGCCTGCTTCCACAGTGTAGGGATGTTATGATTCTAAATGAGACAGATTCTGAGCAGATTTAGGAGTTCCAAACAGGGCATCCACAACGTGCTTTATGTTCCAGCACAGCAGAATTGTGCTCAACCAAATGCTTTCCAAAAGGAATGAAGAAATTAAAGACAGATGAATGGAGAAGGAAAAGAAGAACTAAGTGAAAAGAAGGTGGAACAAGAAAGTAACAGACAAGAAGAGACAACATCATTTAGATAGCAAAGATGGGTAACTTGGGATCATATTCACGGATGTATCATTTACAAGAATAACTTGATGTTCTGTGTCTACATGGATATATCTAATTGTACTTTTCATTTCCTAGGTGTCAACTCGTGCTCAATTGGTAATGGAGGTTGTGAGCATGATTGTGTTCAACTGTCCATAGCACACTACCAGTGTAAGTGTCGGCACAACTATCAGCTGAAGGAGGATGGAAAGCACTGTGAACGTGAGTCCCAGAGTTATTGTTAGGAATGGTGTGGTGAGAGGGAGATGACCATTTACTATATCTCTGTATACATGGACATCACAACCCCATGTGGTTTGAGGAAATCTCATTAATATTGTTGACTGTTCCTCATCCAAGTGAACCATACAGTTTGAGAGGCAATCCAGAATGCTAAATGGCTGATTTTGGCTTAATTGTGCTATGGATGGTATTAGTTATTAGTGAACTAACAGTATGTAGTTACTCAGGTTTACAATAAAAATTCAGGCCTTGATCACATTCTGTCCCTGCTGCTCTCTTGCCCCATCACAGGTTATTCTTAGACTTAATCCTCAAGAGAGGCACAGTAGTGAAAGGGCAAATTGGTATCTTGTCTAAATCTAGCACTGGTATTAATCCATGTGAAACATGGTTGAATTGTGGATTTGCCAATATGCCAATGGTAAATTTCTCTTATCAGGGTCTGAATGACATGGGCTATGATTTGAATTCTGGTAGTATCGTGCAAGAAGTCCAGTGAAGCCTTCACCTATTTTCTGCTCTATCCATCTTCTATCCGCCTCCCCCTCTCTCCCTATTTATTTCAGAACCCCCTTCCCCTCCCTCATTTCTGAAGAAGGGTCTAGGCCCGAAACATCAGCCTTCCTGCTCCTCTGATGTTGCTTGGCCTGCTGTGTTCATCAAGCTCTGCACCTTGTTATCTCAGATTCTCCAGCATCTGCAGTTCCTACTATCTCTGAAACAATTTTAACCCCACTGCGAAGCCTCTTCTAAGGATGCCTACCCTGAAGAAGTTACCCTCCTCCCTCCGGAAAAACCTCAGTGGATCTCTCTCCCACTGCAACTCTCTCGTAATCTCTTCGGCCTTGAAACTCCTTGACCACGTCCCGAAGCAAACCAGGTACTACAGCCACGTCACCTTTCTTAGTACCTGCCTACGGAACCAGATCATCCCCAATGGACTACAGTCCACATTCAGGCCTTCCCAATTTGGCCCCAACCGTGACAATGTCTACATTCAGAACATTGAGATCCTTCAGAAGCGTTTCTCCCTGCGACTCCTGAAACACACACTTGCAGCAATGCGCCGGCATCTCCTGGCACTACAATCAAGCCTACCCCAGCTCAGAGCCTCCCTCTCCCAGACCTGCAAAGGACCTCTCCTGTTTTTTATTCTTTGTAGGATCCACAACCTGAACTCACAATTCTACTCAGCTTTATTGGACACTAAAAACCGTAAGTACAGTAAACTCACTGGCGCCTACCACCCAAAACGGGCTTCCTCCACCCCACAAATTGCCAACCCTACCCAGGACCTTCCCCACAATGTGCCCACTGCCATTGGCCATGCAGCCACTGTCAGAGCACCCATGGATGACGTCACATCCTCCGCCGCCGGGAACACCACTTCCGGGACAGCGAATGGCATCGACACCGCTGCTGATGCCACCGCCTCCATTTCCGAGGCCAACACCATAGACACTGAGGACACACCTACCGTCACCGCTGCTGCCGCCGCCTACCCCGCTCTGCCCACCGCCTACCCCACTCCGCCCGACGCCGCTCCGCCCATCACTGCCGACGCAACTCGGCCCACCGCCGATGCCAACGCAACTCGGCCCACCACCGACGCCGATGCAACTCCGCCCACCGCCGACACCGACGCAACTCCGCCCACAACCAACACCGCACGGCCCACCACCAACGCCGACGTCGCTCCGCCCACCACCTCCACAGCCAGCAGTTCCAGAGGAGGCAGCAACACCCAGCCCTGCTGAGTCTTCACCATCCCCCCCAGGCCTCCCCCTTACTGAGGACGAACGGTCAGTCCTCAGTACAGGGCTCACCTTTGTCCCCCTCCACCCACACATCAACGAATACCGATATTGTTTGGACATTGAGCAGTTTTTCTGCTGCCTCCGCCTCCGCGCTTACTTTTTCAACCGTGAGCCTAACCCTCCCTCTACTGACCCCTTCTCCCGCCTCCAACACACCCCTTCCTCCTGGACACCACCCCAAGGCCTCCTACCCTCCCTCGACCTCTTCATCTCCAACTGCCGTCGAGACATCAATTGCCTCAACCTTTCCACCCCTCTCACCCACTCCAACCTCTCCCCTGCAGAACGTGCAGCCCTCTGCTCCCTCTGCTCCAATCCCAACCTCACCATAAAACCCGTGGACAAGGGAGGTGCAGTTGTAGTATGGCGCACTGACCTCTACATTGCCGAGGCCAGACGCCAACTCTCTGACACCTCATCCTACCACCTCCTTGATCATGACCCCACCCTTGACCACCAAAACATCATCTCCCAAACCATCCACAGCCTCATCATCTCAGGTGACCTCCCACCCACAGCCTCCAACCTCATCATTCCCCAAACCCGCACCGCCCGCTTCTATCTCCTTCCCAAAATCCACAAACCTGACTGCCCTGGTCGACCCATTGTCTCCGCCTGCTCCTGCCCCACCAAACTTATCTCCACCTATCTGGACTCCATTTTCTCCCCCTTGGTCCAGGAACTCCCTACGTACGTCCGTGACACCACCCATGCCCTCCACCTCCTCCAGAACTTCCAATTCCCCGGTCCCCAACACCTCATCTTTACCATGGACGTCCAGTCCCTATACACCTGCATTCCCCATACAGATGGCCTAAGGGCCCTCCGCTTCTTCCTGTCCCGCAGGCCTGACCAGTCCCCCTCCACTGACACCCTCATCCGCTTAGCCGAACTCGACCTCACCCTCAACAACTTCTCTTTCAATTCCTCCCACTTCCTACAGACAAAGGGGGTGGCCATGGGTACCCGCATGGGCCCAAGCTATGCCTGCCTCTTCGCTGGTTATTTGGAACAATCCCTCTTCCATACCTACACTGGCCCTAAACCCCACCTCTTCCTCTGTTACATTGATGACTGTATCGGCGCTGCCTCGTGCTCCCACGAGGAGCTCGAACAGTTCATCCACTTCACCAACACCTTCCACCCCAACCTTAAGTTCACCTGGACCACCTCTAATACCTCTCTCTCCTTCCTGGACCTCTCCATCTCCATCTCTGGCAACCACGTAGAAAGCGATATCCATTTCAAGCCCACCGACTCCCACAGATACCGAGAATACACCTCCTCCCACCCACCTTCCTGCAAAAATGCCATCCCCTATTCCCAATTCCTTCGCCTCCACTGCATCTGCTCCCAGGATGAGGCATTCCACTCCCGTACATCTCAGATGTCCTCGTTTTTCAAGGACCGCAACATCCCCCCCCCAGTGGTCGAGAACGCTCTCAACCGTGTCCCCTGCATTTCCCGCAACTCATCCTCACACCCCCTCCCCGCAATAACAACCAAAACAGAATCCCCCTCATCCTCACGGACCACCCCACCAACCTCTGGATCCAATGCATCATCCTCCGACCCCACCACCAAAGACATTTTTCCCTCCCCATCCTTATCTGCTTTCTGGAGGGACCACTCTCTCCGGGACTCCCTTGTCCGCTCCACACTCCCCTCCAGCCTCACCATACCCGGCACTTTTCCCTGCAACCGCAGGAAGTGCTACACCTGCCCCTATACCTCCCCCCTCACCCCCATCCCAGGCCCCAAGAAGATCTTCCACATCAAGCAGATGTTCACCTGTACATCTGCTAATGTGGTATACTGCATCTGCTGTTCCCGTAGTGGCCTCCTCTACATCGGGGAAACCAAGCGGAGACTCAGGGACCGCTTTGCAGAACACCTATGCTCGGTTCGCACTAAACAACTGCACCTCCCAGTCGCGAACCATTTCAACTCCCCCTGCCATTCCTCAGACGACATGTCCATCCTGGGCCTCCTGCAGTGCCACAACGATGCCACCCAAAGGTTGCAGGAACAGCAACTCATATCCCGCTTGGGAACCCTGCAGCCCAATGGTATCAATGTGGATTTCACAAGCTTCAAAATCTCCCCTCCCCCTACTGCATCCCAAAACCAGCCCAGCTCGTCCCCGCCTCCCTAACCTGTTCTTCCTCCCACCTATCCCCTCCTCCCACCTCAAGCTGCACCCCCATTTCCTACCTATTAGCCTCATCCCACCCCCTTGACCTGTCCGTCCTCCCTGGACTGACCTATCTCCTCCCTACCTCCCCACCTACCCTCACCTTTACTGGCTCCATCCCCACCTCTTTGACCTGTCTGTCTCCTCTCCACCTATCTTCTCCTCTATCCATCTTCTATCCGCCTCCCCCCTCTCCCTATTTATTTCAGAACCCCCTTCCCCTCCCCCATTTCTGAAGAAATTTCTAGGCCCGAAACGTCAGCCTTCCTGCTCCTCTGATGCTGCTTGGCCTGCTGTGTTCATCCAGCTCTACACCTTGTTATCCAAGCCTTTCTGGATATTGGGATCAACTTTTTCAACTGAGTTCTGGAAATCAAGACAAGATTCTCACTAGGCAGGAGTGAGTTGCCTAGTTTGGAAGACTGTTTCTTGTTAACAACCTTATTAATTGCAAATCTTGTCTTATTAATAAGCAGCTCCCAATCCTCCCATCAGCTGCAGGTAAAATAGACACTGACAATTCTCGACATGGAAGTCATAGAGGGTACCTGGTGAATCTAGCGCATACTTCTTCCATAAGATCTCCAATTTGGACACCAGGCACCAACATCACAGACACACTCCATGGCTACTGTACATACACACCCATGTCCAAGGACATTGACATCCAACATGTGCTAGTTCTCTAAAAGCCCTCATGACATATCTACTACCCACTTACAGGACACTTCTGTACTTCAATGTTGCGCCTCAGGGCACAATGGCTCATTCAATCCTGCTGCAAGGACACTATGCTCAGGGTCATACACCCAGCTCTTAGATTGGATCAGGCTGTATCTCCGTGTTCTGTGCTTTTTCTCATAGCACTCGGTCCGTTTGAGCGTTGATGCTCACAGCATCCCTTCATTGCTTTGCTTTGCCTTGTCGTTGTGCACCTTGGCTGTCAGCCAGAGTTACCAGGCTCACAG